ACGTTCAGAACTCTCAATATTTTATGAGTTTCCACCAAATGATACGCCAGCTTCACACACACGATTTGACAATGATGAATTTTTTTTTATAATTGTAACAGTTATATTAGATTTAAAAAGTCACGCCGGTCACGTAATACTAAAAAAAATTAATTCGGCATTTGTAACTCATTATTTTTTAGTCGTTACTTGTAACGAGGTAATGTTACTCATTATAAATTACTTTTTTCAATAAGTAAATGCATAATGATGCAAGTTGTTTCAAAGTGACTTTTCCAATCTTAGAGCAATCTCAGCGTTTAGATAATTATCATTACAGTGATAAAAAATTGCAACATTATTATCAAATTATTATAAAAAGTAAGGAAATAGTAACTTTTTCCATTCCCCGATTAAAACGTACTATGTGTCTTTGGCCTCAATCTCCTCTGAGTCTACTATACGAGGAAAAGGAAAAAGTAGAAAATATCAGAGCAAATCTATACCGAAATATTCATCATTAGAAGTAACAAAGATCACTGCAAGAATCAGCCTGTGCCGTAATATCAATTCTGATTAATCTCTGGCTAGCAATCGTCTCAAATTGTATTTATAATACGAATTTAACTCGTAAATATCTATAGTTTGTTAACTGTTATATTGGAGCTAAGTAGGTAGGCCCTTAAGAAGGATTCTAGAAACAGATCCGAGATTGCTGAGATATATTGTGAAAAGAACTGATGTTCTATATCTTGTGGTCAAGGAGGATTAAAAATGCAAATGCATGTTCCATATTTTCGAGACTTTACAAGAGTAAATCAATTCCCTAAATGTCAATGACTTAAAAGTAAAGCAATTCATTGTGCTCTTGGAACCAGATGGTGCACTGAAACATGACGTAAAATTTACAAAAATTATAATTTTTGTAAAAATTAAAAAAGAGAAACAACTTCCAATGGCTTTAACATACAGTGTCAAAGTTATCCTGAACAATATTCAGGTTTTTAACTGTCTCCATACCTAAAATTTATCAGTTAAATACCTGATAATATCTGAAATTTGTCAACTTATATTTCAAAAAGTACTTAATCAAAAGGAGTTTTATCATAGTGTTTTAAGATCTTGATAACCAATAAGAACATTGAATAAAAAGTTTCCAAAAAAAATTTAAAAGTTAATTTTGAGAGCTCCTTTATACTCAAAGTTAACCGATATCATTACCAATGCCAATATCATTGCCATTTCACACATTTGTTGAAATCCTACAACTTTTATTTGAAACACTTCCCAAATGTATTGTCTTTGAGATACTTCACTGATACAATATTTTTTAATCACCCTTATAAAGATTAAATACCTGTAAATTTTCAGAATTTGCAGTTAAATCCTTTAAAACTTGTGAAACAGCTGATTGAAAATCTACATTTACATTTTTTTCATCCACTGCATTATTGGCTGACATTTGTCCAAACTTCTGTAAAGCAGCTTCCAGTTCGCTATCTTCTAATAGTAAATTATTATCCTACAAATATTTGTTTAATAATTTTTATATATTTTTAATTATCTCACCATTTTGCAATAAATTTTGTAAATTTTTTTCAAACTGATCAGCTGTTTGTTTGAGAAAATCTTCTGTCCATTTGTCTTCAGACGTTTCATGTTTATTTGTTTGCTTCTGCGAATCCACTGTATTTAAGTCATTGCTCTTTTCTACATTTGATATGGATACTTTATCAAAATCTTGTAAAGCACCTAAGATAGAAACAACAAAATTTAATGTATATTATATATATATATATACC